AAATTTGCATAATGGGATGTGTATAATAAAAAGGTCAACGCGCGGAGTGCGGGAATGGTCACCAAGGTAACAACCCACTTGTTCAGCGCGTGACTTGGGGTTAAACTTGGACCAACGTTTATTAGATTAGTCAGTTTCGCCAAGAAGTGCGCTATTTTTTTCGCTGATCACCCAGTTGTTGCAGTATATATTGTAGCACCAAGTGTGTGACACTCCCTCTTCGACTTCGGCTTGCTTTTCCTACTTAGTGCATGGTCTCGAGATAACGTAAACTGCGGCCTCTCATCGAGTGTTTTACACTTGGAATTTATACTTTGCCCGATTATATTGGTGTACGCGAAACATTAATCATTTAAAATAAATCCTGAGACTATACATGATGTAAATTCAAAATAATGTGATAATATTTTACATTATGTGGGGTCTACAGTATTCTGGGTTGCTTTGCGATGTTATACCAAGACTCGTGAAAATAAAATAGTGTTTTCTGCGAACTAATAGAGACGATTTTTCCAATCTTCTGGTACCACTCGATTTTTTATTATTTGAACCTGGCGGCAAGTACCGGTAACCTTTAGTTTCCCAGTCTATTGTGTCCATTCATAGTCTTAACAATAGGGTGTAAATTGCCATGCGAGCCTACCGCGGTAAACCGGGGTCATGGAATCTATGCATAAATTTGCATAAAATGCGGTCGACCGGCGAGCACCTACCACCACCGCGGTAAACCGCGAGTTTGATTTCCTACTCTTCCCTTAGTTGGAAATGTCACATTGAACACCACCTAACTTAGTTGGAAATGTCACACTGATTACCATCTAACTTAGTTGGAAATGTCACACTGAATACCACCTAACTCAGGCAGACTAAGGAAGATCCAAATCTGTAAGAAAATAAATTGAATTTTCCCCACAGCTTCTTTTATTTACTGTCAAGCAGAAAGACTTAAATTACCAATATTTGTTGACTAAGCTCCAACCCCCTAAAAAACATGTTTATTTTTAGCCAAGTACCCTGGACAGTAAGTCACTAGGTCAAGTTGATGGATAGATTAAAGTGTAACTGAATTGGGCCAATTGACTTTTTTGTGTGCAAAATTTATTTATAAACAACATTATGAAAAAAAATGTGAAAAGGATATATAAAAATGCCATAGTAAGAATTGGTTATTTTTAGATATGAGAGTGTTTTGTAGAAAGTGCTTCAGTAGTAGAATTAAAGTAGAGCCTTTTTGGTTCACTATTTGTGTAATGAAATAGATTTGCCTCCATTTATGGCAGTTTTATGAAGACCATGATTGGTACAGACTAAACATAACATGTGAACCAATTGGTGGGGAGAAAAAAACATAAATGTGCATACAAGCAAGGCAGTCAGTGCTAGACTTGCTTATTTAGACTGACTTGGAACTCAGCCTCAGGGAAGAGTGACAGGGGGATCGTGTTTTCAAGTACTACCGTAAAATCTGTATTAGAAGCCGCATCCCTAATAGAAGTCGCACCCATTCTTTTTGAAAAATTGAGAACCAAAAAAACATCATTTCTCATATGTGTAGATGCTCTAATAGAAGCCGCATCCCCTCTATTGCATTGTACCATTTTAATAGAAGCCGCGGTTTCTAATACAGATTTTACAGTAACCAAAAACCACTTGGATCAACAAACCCACACACTAGAATATGTTGGCTAGTTCACTACTAATGCCTGCAGCAGGCCCTGCATTCATCAAAGCTGTATTTTGCAGGAATACTCATATTCTTTGCCTGGTTTAGTTGATTAGAGGATTACACAGAGGGAGGCTAGTAGACAGGTCATTAATATAGACACTGGGTTGGCAGGAGGTCCTTAAAACCATCACATAATCTACCTGTGACCCTGGAGCATCCAGGATATACTCATTTAAGAGTGGGTGGTGTTGGGTACTGTCGGAGGGACAGAAAAACACGCCATATGAACTGAGAGAGCCCAGGGCAATAAAACCAATAATGAAATCAGTTGGCCACCATTGGTAGATATTTGATACGTAAAAAATATTAATTTATTGATTGGATTATTTAATAAAAGATTGGAAACATATTTTCATCTCAAAGTGAATAATTTCTTCCCTATCCAACTTTCCTGCTCTTTGCCTTTGCCCAACTAAAACACAGACCCAGTCAAAACAACATACTTCTGTTTACATAATATCCAGTTCTAAGAGAAGAACGAAAGGAAAGAAGACCGGAATGCTACCACTGAAGGACAAAACATCAGGGAAATATAAATCTTGGCCTTAACTAGAAGAAAGCTAAACTAGAAACTAAATCAGATGATGCAGAGACATTGTTTGTTTGCATCAAAAAGGTCATTGATATACCAGTAAGGAAATCTGTGAAATAATTAATTTACACATGGTACAGAAAAAATTAAACAATTAACAAGTTAAACACTGGTATTTTTTATTGTTGAAAAACAAAAGTCATCAAATTTGTGTTTGGTAACTTGTCGGTGCTGCAGACAAGGTGTGATCCCAATCTAGGCATATTATAAAGAACAATGCCACCATATAAACAAAGATATTGACAATACCTTTTTCTATCATCATTGCTTCCAGAGTTTTATCTTCATCTTCTTCTCTGTAAATAAAAAAAAAATGTTATTTAATTTTGTTGTACACACATTTTTTTTTTAAGTGGAAGATCACACTCGTGCAGACACAAGGTGAAACAACAAGCAAGATGGTGGTATTCTTGTAATAACTTCATATATTTCACATGCACATATTATTTCATCCTCTTTTAAAGTTGCATTTCCATTTTGTAAATACCATCCCCTGATTAAAATATGCACCATCAATTATTGAGATAGTGGTTGAGAAATTAGCTGCTGATTATGAATTGATGTGAAGCTCTTAAATTAAGTTAGATTTTCAAACAACAGACACTCATCACTGAGTTAGGGGGCTTTGTTTGTCTTTGAAGGACAGTAACATTGTAGATACGTTTGTCAAAAGGAATAAGACCCTCCAGGGTGGGAAGCTACAGTATGGTAGATCAGGGTATCATGAACATATAATATACTGTAGAATACTTTATTTTCACTTGGAATTTATTTTCGCTGAAGGGATGATTCCCTGAAAATAAAATCCAGCGAATATACTTTTTTTCCAATATTTCACATTAAACTCATCAAAAATCAGTGAAAATAAATTCCATACATAACACTCAAAAAGATTTTTCAGCGAAAATTAATTCCAGCGAGAATAAAGTATTCCACAGTATAACATTTGAATGTTTCATTTTGAGCAGGACGTGTTGCAACAAAGGATGGGAAGCCATTTTGTGAGAAAAGAAGTACTCCTACCTGAGTCTATCTTGCTCCATCAATTCAACTATAGTGTTTCTTTGACTGACAATTTCCACCAATCTTTCTATCAGTTCTTCCTCGTTAGCTTTCTCTTCTTCCGTTTTTCCATCTTCTGGTTTTATCATCAATAACCTCAATTCATACTCAACATCTGCATACTCTTCCTCCAGAATCTGGTCCTGGGAACTGAACACACATCGAAAAATAAATGGTTTAGAATTGAAATCCAAAATTACATCCTTCATAGATCCATATTCAGGTTCAAAATAAAAAAAAAAAAATTCCTGGAAGCCTGGGCTATCAGCTTTTAAAAGCTTATATGTTTATATTGGGTTGTCCATCAGAATTGGTAGACACAAAAAATCATGCTAACAAACTTGAGCACAAAAATAAAATAAAATGTCACATTGCTCAATTTGTAACATAACTTTGAAGAAATTTAATTTAAAATATACATCAACACATACATTTCCAAAGATTATAATAAAAGCCCCCAAAATGATGCAGATTCAACCTGAATGTATTAGAAAAGTGTACCTAATTGAATAATCCTTTGTCAAACGTCAGTCTGCCATTTCAAAACCGGTTGTTCGCTTTTTAGCTCCGCTGTCGACTTTGTCGAGCCAAGCTTATCATATGAGTGATTGTCCGTCGTCGTCGTCCGTGTCAATGTTTTACTTTTTCGACTTCTTCTTGAAAACTACAAGCCTGAATGCTTTGATACTTGGTGTATATGTACCTTGGGTAGACCTCTCTCAGATTTGTTCATTTCATGATCATATCTTCAATTCTCTAATTTTGGTGTATATTTTTGTCGTTTTTGGTAAAAAGTGATATTTTTGACTTCTCGTTAAAAACCGCAAGTCCAATTACTTTGATATCACATATATATATACTACATGTGGATCTCTCTCAGATTTGTTCATTTTGTAATGATATCTTTAGATCTCTAATTTTGGTGAATATTTTTGTCATTTTTAGTAAAAAGTAATATTTTCGACTTCTTGTTAAAAACCGCAAGTCCAATTGCTTTGATATTACATATATAGGTACTACATGTGGACCACTCTCAAATTTGTTCATTTTGTAATGATATCGTCAATTCTCTAATTTTGGTGAATATTTTTGTCATTTTTGGTAAAATGTGATATTTTCGACTTCTTGTTAAAAACGACAAGTCCAATTGCTTTGATATTATTACATATATAGGTACTACATGTGGACCTCTCTCAGATTTGTTCATTTTGTAATGATATCTTTAATTATCTAATTTTGGTGAATATTTTTGTCATTTTTGGTAAAAAGTGATATTTTCTTCTTGTTAAAAAACACAATCATTTATGGTGAAAAATAATATTTTTGAATTCTTGTTGAAAACAGCAAGTCCCATTGCATTGATACTATACACATTGTTCATTTTCTACTGATATCTTCAGTTCTTAATTGAAATGTGCATTGCTAACAGGCTGCTTGTTTAAAAATTCCACTCACAAATCTATTGCTTAGTTACCATATTCAAAAAAACTGTTTGAAATCTAAGCATCTCATCTCTTACAAAAAGTTGTTTGCCCGGCCACAAATGGTAATTGTGGTTTGCAAATCTGCTCTGGTAATGGAAAGAAAGAAACTCATTTGAGTTGAAAATCAAACTCATTTGAGTTGAAAATCAAACTCATTTCAGTGAAATACACAGCTGTATTTAAAATTTAAGAAGCCAGAATTTACTTACGTGTAAACGAGCTCATTTTCACGCCGGACTAATTGATTTTTCTGATTGATCAATTCAAACCATTCTTTCAGCATGTCCTCTTGGTCCTGGTCTTGGCCCGATACATCTGCTAAAAGAAAATAGTATATTTTTGAAACCAAGAAAAACGCTCAAATTTGACAATATATGTACTGTAATTTTTAGCATTAGATGCACAAACCATTTGAACTTCCTGTAAAAACTAATAAGTGCAAAGTAAGTACAAACACTCAGTTTTTCTATAAGTGAACGGCACACTTCTAATAGATGAAGAAGGGTGTGCGCTGACTTAAAATTACTAAAGCATCTTGGGTAATTTGTAATGACAAAACTCACTGTCTATTTGTTCTCTCAATTTCTTTTCCATGATAACTCCAGATTGTTCCATTTCAGTCTGTTTAGTGTCTAGTTCGCTTAGCTCTTCCTGTATTTCTTCAGGAGTCATGGTTTTCACAACCTGCAATGATTATTGTTTACTAGTATTCTATTCACATTTGGTAAGACGAAAAAAAGTGACACATAAAAATATACCATACTAGGGGACCCTAAACCCAGTTCTTAGCTTTTCACTATAATTATAAAAGGAACGAAATGTTGAAAACAAATTTATATTTCTGACACAAGGTAACATTTTTCTAATTTGTATTCATAGATGGAAAAATTTTACAGAAATGAAATCTGATTAAAAAAAAGTTTTCCCCAGATTTTCATTTACCTTTCTTCTTTGTGGTGGTGGTGGTGGTGCTTTTCTCTTCACAGATCTACTAACAGCAGGGCTGGGAGATCTGTTCCGGTCTTCCAAGTTTCCGGGCAACAGATCCCTAGAAACCCTCTTTGCTGGCTCCGGCGTCCTTCTAGGGGAGGGCTGAGGACTCTCATCAAATTGTGCAGAGAGTGACGGTGATACCGATCTGCTTGGTGCTTCCTCATTCTTTCTGGCTTCCACAGGCGATCCTCCAGCAACAATTTGGGGTTTTGGTGACCTCGGCATTGGCTTTGGCGGTTCTTCAGCAACTGCTTTTTCATCTGTACTAACAATTTTGGCTGTAGGGGGTGGAGGAGGGGGAGCTCTAGGTTTGCTCCTTGGGGTGGCAGGAGAAGAGGAACCACTGCCTGTTAAAGAAGAAGGAGGTGGAGGAGGAGCAGCTCGAGTTTTCGTCGATTTCAATGGGCTACCAGCTTGACCTCTGGGTAAAGATGCCGAGACTGCTCTCGGTGGTTTCCTTGGTGATACTGGTGATGGAGCAGTATCTTTTATAGGAGAGCTTCCTGGCTGCAAAGTGTTTGATTTCACTTTAGGCGGTGGTGGACGTGGAGGAGGCACTTTCTTCTTATCTCTTGCCATTGATCCACAAAGCTCTCGCAAGACATCTTCTCGAGACTTGACCTGTGAAGATGAACGCTGAGCTGGCTGCACTGTCTTAGCGAAAGGGGGATAAACTTTCCTTTTGAGAACAGGAGAGCCAGTGAAAGGATTGACCAATTCCTCCTCTGCTTCAGCAACACTCGAGTCTTCATGGTAGTTTTCAGAAAAGGGATTATTCTCATCAAAAAGGTCATTAGACTTTTCCTCATGAACAACTTCATCATCATCTTCGTCATCATCTGCAAAGAAAGGGTTTAATTCGTCATCATAATCATCACTGACAGGTCTCTTTGCATCAACTTTTGCATTGTCCTCCTCACCACCAATTTCTTTCTTCTCCTTAACCTTTTCATTGTCTTTCTTGACTTTCAAGTCAGCCGAGTCCTCACTGATAGCTGTGTCCTTGCCTGCATCTTTACGTGATTCCTTCTTCTCATCAATAACTTCTTTGGGTTTCTCCTGTTCTTCTTCCTTTTCGTCCTCAACCTCATCATCAACCAGAAATGGATTCAGTTCATCTAGCTCCTCAGATATATTTTTATCAACTTCGGATTCATCCTTTTCAAAGTCTTCAATGACCTGATGTGAATCATCTTTAGTTTCCAGATCTTCCAGAGCTGAAATAAACGATTTAGATTCAGAGTCACTCTCCTCAGAAAAGCCATCTTTAGCTTCTTTGAAAACCTCTTCAATTTTTGTTTCTTTAACAAGTAAACTCGCTTCTGACTCTGTTGTAGCATCATCTAGTTTCACATTTTCAGTAATTTCAGCAACTTTTGTTTCCTTGGTAACATCATTGTCTTTTTTCTTTTCTGCAACATCAGAGACCTTTGTTTCCTTTTCAACTTTATTCTCCTTGGTATCAATAACTTTTGTTTCCTCGGTAATACCACAAACTTTTGTTTCCTTGGTAACATCATTGTCTTTTTTCTTTTCGGCAACATCAGTGATCTTTGTTTCCTTGTCAACTTTTATTTCCTTGGTAACAGTGACTTTTGTTTCCTTGGTAACATCACTGTCCTTTTTCTTTTCGGCAACATCAGTGACCTTTGTTTCCTTTTCAACTTTTTTCTCCTTGGTATCAATGACTTTTGTTTCCTTGGTATTACCACAAACTTTTGTTTCCTTGGTAACATCATTGTCTTTTTTCTTTTCAGAAACATCAGTGACCTTTGTTTCCTGTGCAACTTTTTTCTCCTTGGTATCAATGACTTTTGTTTCCCTGGTAACGTCATTGTCTTTTTTCTTTTCGGCAACATCAGTTATCTTTGTTTCCTTGGTTACATCAATGATTTTTGTTTCCTTGGAAGCAGCAGGAATCACAGTTTTCTTTTTAACATCAATGACTTTTGTTTCAATAACAACTTTACTAACATTTGTGTCCTTGGTAACCTTGTCATCCTTTTTGTCATTTACAGATGGAGCAATTGGAGCAACTTTTTGCTTATCCTCTTTCAGATCATTTACTTGCCTCGACTTCTCATGAACTGGTATCTGTTCTCCAATGACCTTTCTCCCATCTTTAAGTGACCCATTTGGGAGTTTAGTATCAATTTCATCTTTCTTAATCCACACAGGTTCTGATTCAACTTTTTTTTCTTTCAGTTCTTCTTTCTTCCGAATCCCAGCAAGAGACTTAAGGAGCCCTTCCCTTAGCTCTGCATCACTCGATGATTTCTCAGATACTTCTGTTGGGGATTTTTGCATCGCAGTATTCTGTTTAATTTGAGTGGTCTGAGCATTGGCAGTTTTATAAGTTCTGTGTGGTGGTGACTGTGAGCTTTCAGCATTATTTTCAAATAGCTTCATTCTGGAAGCCACACTCCTCGGGTGGTCCTTGGAAACAACTGGCACATTGTCATTTGTTTTTAAATCAATTTTCTCTACTGCAGGCGCTTTTGCACCAATATGCACATCAGAAACACTCTTTTCCTTGTCTTTTTGGTAAAAAGCACCAATTTTCAAAACAGCTTTTTGTTTCTCTGTCAGACTTCTATCTGAGTTCAGCAAGTCTCTAGTAGTGTTGTTACTTTTCTTTTCACGATCCAAAGACGACTTTTTCCCCTTAAGAAAGTGCGAGTGTTTTGATGGCTTTTTGTGTATGGGGCACTCAAACTTGTTAAAATCTATAACTTTATAGTTGCCTGGTCTGAGAGTTTTCTGACATTCACGACAGCGGAAACAAGACCTATGATAGAGTTTGCCGTCAACCACTGTTCTCTCCATGATATAAACGCGTTTACCGCATGCTGCACATTTGTAACCAAAGGCACCTCCTTCTGCACTGGGCTTTTTCACGTATTCCATCGGCTGACTGATTTCAACCTGAGTAAAAAGAGAATAGATCATTTGCTTACTACTAGTTAACAATTCAGAGCATTTTTACCAGGGCATCTCCAAATAAATAATACAGTAACCTGTAAATTTGAGAAATGCTTCACATACTGCCTGTGTTTCCCAAGCTAAAGTGTGACAGACGCAATGCAGTGCACGTTTATTAATTACATGTAAACAATCAATACATTGCATAAGTTTCACGGCACCAACTTTGTACACGGTATGAAGGCTATGGAGTTTTAAATATCGAAGAATGATGGCTAATTACCGTAGCGTATCAGTAACTAGGCTGGCAAAGTTGGGATTTCTTTTTTGTTTTACAAAGAGAAATAATTAATTGTTCTTTTTGTTCTTTTAGCATGATCACAAAAACTAAACTGACCGCTAAAGAAATCCCGACTGGACGCATCTGCGGGCATTTGACTGCTATTAATTATTCATGACGTCATTGATTATTCATGAGTCGGTATATGAAAATAAACATAACCTTTTAAAGGTTGATTTTATTTGATCGCAGAGATGGATACTTTAACTTTTTAAGTGCGAAGGCGATACTTTCATCTATTTTTACTGAAAACAAGTCGATTTAAATGTCCAATGTATATAAGTAGTCTTTCAAAATTGCTGGGACCTCAGAAGTGAAAGGTCATGTACATTAACATAGATAAGATATGACGTATACAGCTGCACTCTGATTCGTTGTCAATGCTAGTCAACAACTTATAATTAGCATAATCACTGGAGTGATTCCTCACCAGTGGTTGCCTGCAGATGCGTCCAGTCTGGATTTCTTTCACAGTCACGCTAGTTTTCACGATCACGTTAAAAGGCTAAATTGACAATTAATTATATTTTTTTTGGTAAAACAATGAAGAAATCCCAACTTTGCCAGTCTAATCAGTAACCTGTACTGCGATGCTTGAAAGATCTGCATATTTTCATACTCCTAGAAGAAATTCATTATTTTTAAGAACAATATCACGAAATCCAACTACACACAGAGTTTAGCGACTGGTCAGTCAATGAGTTTTAGTTAGTTATATAAGCTTTGGTGACAAATCCTGATAATGTGACTTACCTGCGCACTGACGGCGGGTGCCTGCTCAGGCATTTCTGCCGTTCGCTTGATTTTTGGACTGGGTGACGCTTTCTTTGACTTGGGACTCTCTGTGAGAGAATGTCTTTTGAAGGCTGTTGCTCCACCTGGAAATAAACAAAAACAAAAATGAGTGCCAACACGCAAGAAACAGACGTTGTACAGTCAAACATGTCTATAATGGCCACTCAAGAGATCAGGCCGAAATGGCCACTATAGTGGGCTTTCTGTGAAAGTCCATGTGTGGGAGGGGCAGGTAGGCAGGGAAAGAGGAGGTGCATCTATGAATACATTTAATAGAAGGGGTTCTTTCAGACAGGGGAACAGGGGTGCAGCACCCGCCTCATATCTCAGGCTTGCACACTCATACCAAACCTGGAACAGTCAGTAGATTATGATCAGTTATAACAAATATAAAGTGTTACCAATGGTAACAAAGGTGTGCTCCCTCTTAAAATTATTTTCCAGAAAAACTTCTGAATAGTTAGATGGAAATGTGAAATGAACACACATTATTGTGTCTATCACATTGATTTCACATAGAAATTCTGAGCCACACCTGACCTGTTCTATCAATCAGTCTAATTACATGGCACGATTGTTTTTTTTGAAATTTCAAATTCACTAGACGTTGTGTTCGGTGGCAGGTAGCGCAACATAATATTGCTGAGTTTTACTGGTGTGATAGTGCATTGTCAATAAAGAACAGCACAAGTCAATATCTCCAGGTGATCTTCAAAAATGTTTGAGTACGTCTATGCCTTTTTATTTGCACAATAATACACTGGCAGCCCCTTTATGTTTATGTTTTTAAAACAACAAGGTTTTTCCCGACTGCCAACTTTCCGACGTACAACAAAAAGAAAATCCTCCATGGCCGAGGACAAAACTTATCCATAAATAAATCATTAATAAAAAGGTTTCAAAGCAGACACTTGAACTTGTACAGTGTCAAGTTGTTGTTGAAATCTCAAGTGATTTTGGTCATTAACTTTTTTATTTTAATAACCATTAAATTTGATTCAAATTAAACAGTTGTTTGGGCCAATATGTGATATGGTTTGTTATCACGGTAGCCACTGAAGGTACATTTGTAGGTCAGGACCAGTGATTTGAACTCTGACCTGAATAACAAAACAAAGTCAAGTGAATAATAAAAATGTTGACATATTTGAAATACCAGAGATACTCAAAGATGAAAGCACAATGTAACTTTAATTAATCTGACAATATGAAATCATACCAAATTACAGAAAAAAATTAGTGGGAACAAAGGTCGTTATGAAAGGCACTAGTTTATGAAACCTTGAAGCATCGAATCTATTTGAATATAAATTTTGTATCAGACGATATTTAGTGTACGGTTACACATACTTGACTACCCCCTATTATCCCTGCTATTGTCTGAGGAAAAGAGATCTATCATTCACCTGCTGTAGGGATGTTGTTGTAGTCATAACATATTTTGAATCAAATATGTAATTACAAGAGTGAGCAAATATGAAATATTCAAATTTCAAGCAGAAATATATACCTGCGATTAAATATTGACATACCTTTGGAAGAGAAACACGACAGGTTGGACATATTCGAACACGGAATATCACAAACAGGACAAAGGTCAATAGCTCCACTCAAAGTGCAATAGCACACGCTACAAGTGGGATGGCTCTACTAAGCACTGACACACGAACATACTCCAAGTTTAAGCAAGCGTGTATTAGTACCGAGTCGGCACTTCGAAGGGTAATGTACAGCAATATGCAAAACAGATTGAATCTGACTCACCTGGTACCTTGCGTACGAAATAGTTATAGTATTGGGAGATATAGGTCACGACACTCAGCTTATCGGGCACTTTTATAGCTACCATATCTTCGGCATCCAACAATGCACAAATACCAAGTTCTCTTTCCGCCGTTTTGAACGCCTAGAAAATTATAACAATAAAATTATTCATGGTGAAATATTTCACGTGATTTTTAAAAATATTAACTTTTTAATATAAAAAAAAAAAGTTGTGTGTATAGGTAATAACAAAATGTATAAGTAACAAAAAATTAATTTTATCAAATTAATTAATTATTAAATATAATTTTTATGATAACCAATGTTAAACGAAGAGGTATATACACATGAACAGCCTATAGATTCTTTAAATATATGCAAATAACACAACCAAATTATTTGTTACTGTAAAAGCATTAATTATTCACTGTGTTTTAATTTCACTATTTTTTGCTGATAAGTTAGGTCTATTAAAATAAATCTGCATGAGCTCATTGTTTCTTTGCAAAATGAAAAAAAAATTAAAAAGGCAGAAACATAAAAATAATGACATTAAATGCCAGTAAAAATAAATGGTTGTACAGTATTATGCTAATCATTATGCCAGGCAATACACTAAAGTTAACATTTTATTTTGTTGAGTTTGTGGCACATTTAAAGTACTGGACAAAAACAAAGAATTCTATCGATTCTTTGAAAATAATTTCGACATGATGTGTATGAGAGAAAAACTCCACTTTGAGTAACGTGCAGTCTTCACACTCTGGTATAATTAACTGCTACAATTTTTTTTTTCATTTTTGATTATTAAGGAGCTGATGCATGTGACAACACTAAAACATGACAATAAATGAATCAATGACTAAAATAGTTTTGTGTGTTTTTGATAAATTTGAATAATTTTGAGTATAAATGTACTTACCAACTGGTTATTATCAAATATATTTTCTTTTGATAGAGAATCAAAGTTACTAGAAAAAAAGAAGAATTTAACACATTATCATGATTTTGTTTTTTTTCAGAAATTTCACACACAAAAATTTGGTTTAATTTGCATAACATTGTTTGTATTTGAGATTGAACAAAGTGTTGTATTGTGCTTCATTTTATCATGACATAAGGAAAAAATTCTAAGTCAGTGTGCTATGATATGTGCCACCCTTAGCAAATAGAGTCGCATCCAAATCAGAATAAGGTTTGAATACTTACATCAAGTCAGGCCTGTAATGGTGTATAATTGCGCAGAATGCGAGTCCATCTTTCCATGATGTTGTCATGTTTGTGACTTTAACATCGCGGTATCCTTCCGTGATTTTCTGACACCATGTTTGCAGTGCTTTCACCGCCATCTTACTAACTGTTTACAAATGCTGGAAGCAAGAAAATAAAATGTTTTAATGCATGACAGATTTGTAACATCTATTGCTCTTTTAACAGAACAGCCATTTTCTTTAATATTTCTTGATTGGTCACTACTCTATGCACTTTCAAGCAGCCCTTATTGATCACATGATCCGGAGCTGCTATTCATCTAGGGTCCTGATTTGGGGGTTTGAATACTGTAAAACATGTCTTTTTCGCGAGCATGTCTTTTTAGTGAATTTAGCGAGAGAACTGATTCGCTAATTCAAGATGTCGCTAATGACTTTATTATAAATTCAAAATGGCCAAGGCTTGGAGATTTGTATACAGTAATCCGAAACATAAAAATCTAAGGGGCTTCCTAATTACACTTGACAGTTTTTCTTTGTTTTTATGGAGGTGATAACTGCGCGTTTTGGCAGGCAACAGACAAGTATTGTGAAAACAGGAAATCAACAAGGACAAGAGAAATTCGCTAAATCAACATTTCGTTATTACGTCATTTTACCACAATTCGCTAAAATTGCATGTCACTTTTTCAACATGTTTTAAAGTATATGTGCATCCACCCAATTAAATCATTTACAGTACTACTGGTATACGGTCTATAATTAAATCAAGTATATTCTTTTGAACTCTATCTTGATCGGGCATCCTAATTTACATATTCGAGTTCAGTCAATGTCATTACTAATTTACAGATATTAATTTCAAAATCATAATTTTTTCTGCCCAAACCCTGGTGCAACATTTTTCACATGCACATGATTTTTTCAATAATGCTTTTTAAAATTTCAAATAAAATGAATACAATTTGCCATTGGCTATAGATCTAGATCAAAAGTTTTAAAAATAATGCCATAATACATTTTTCAAGAATTGTGAAATTTCATCATTGATTATGCTGATAACAATATGTTGACGTGGAAATTTGTATTCAAGTATTATCAAATGAAATCCATCACACAGACACCAATTTGTTTCTCATTACCATATACCGTACATTATACAGATTCATTAACGATTTTAATATCACTATGGTAATGAAATCGAACGTATTCAATGTCAATTTAAATGTGATAATAAATAAAAAATTAAAAGAAACAAACAGATCAATTAAAAAAAAAAAAATAAAAAAAAAAATATAAAGTGCAAATGCATGTAATCATGAAGTTTCAATGAGACAACAATAATGGCAATATTTGTTTAAACCGATAAGTTGAGTTAATGATTTACAGAAATACCAGTCAACAACCTAGGTATCAACAATCGACACCTGTGGTTTTTAAACTGTTTGATATAACTGTGACGTTACGTCATAGAGCTCGTTACCGGTAGTAACCGCCAAGGCTCCCGCTACGTAGGATTCAATTATAAGGAAAAGATCCATCAAATAAACCATGGAACAAAATATCATAAATTTAGAATAATAATCATGTTATAACTGAAGTCAATAGATGCATGTTAATTCTTGCAAATAAATTTTAGAAATTTGTAAGCCCAGCGGTTTTCGTGTGAATAAGGTCTCATGCAAATCCAATGAGACGAATAGTTTGGGTAGGCAGTGAAGTGTTTATTCACGCATTAATTATACATAAATCAGAATAGCTTCGTTACTGCACGAATTCATAGAACGTGTAATAGCTATTTCAGTTCATAAATATTAACGTTTATGAATAATTTATTACATAAATGCTTTTGCTAACTTCAGTGCATTATATCACAATAAAGAAAGATATTTTCCAAAGAATGTGAATCATAGAAAAATCTTATGATCAAAAAATCTTTAACAGCTGTAAAATTGAATTTCTCAGGCCCATGAAGACTTCCGGGGTCACATGTATGTACCATATTGGAATTGACTACTGTAAAATACTTTATTTTCGCTTGGAATTAATTTCCGCTATTTTCGCGGAAGGTATGATTCAGTGAAAATAAAATCCAGCGCATATACCTTTTTCTCTATATTTTACATTCAACTCATCAAAAATCAGTGAAAATAAAATTCATACAAAACACCCAAAAAATCTTTTCAGCGAAAATAAATTCTAGCTAAAATAAAGTATTTTACAGTATGTGAATTTAAAATGGCACAATACATAAAACAAACTGTATTACAGTATACTGGGAAATGAGTAATGATTTACTGCCACACATAGCAGTGTGTAAACCATTTGACGGCATTGTCAACTTTTGGCAACATTTACAAAATGATTTTGCACAGTCTGCTTGTTTCCCTACATGAAATGTTGATAAAAACTGACAAACCTTTTGATCATAAACTAAAGGCAATATATGAAACTGTATGTATATGATGTATTGTAGAATTTTGTGTTGTATGTCTGTATTATTGAAACGAAATAAAAATATTGTTTAAATAAATAATAAAAAAAAAATGATAGGATTTATTGAAAATTTTTCAAAATGTGAAAATATTTGGACTGAATTTTAGGAGGAAGAATATCTGGAACCCAGCCTCAAAATGTTAATGGCTGTAACTGATGGAATAGAAAAATCATAAATAACACACAGTTTGCAAAAATGAAATTTAGTTATGAATAATTTAAGAAGTGAGGAACTTGACAACTCTATGTGCTCACATACACAGTTGGGATTCCTAATAATAATGGCAGCTTGCGGGGGGTGGGGGTGTGTGTGTGTGGGGGGGTGTGTTAATGTTAGTTAGTTACCTCTACATGTATAAGATTGATTGAGGAAATAACGATATACAAAGTAATAATTACTATTATGATAAAAACAGGACCAGTCAATTTATTATATATTTTCCTTGCATTATTTTATGTGTTATTAATTATGATTCTCTGCAAGTGTTAATTATCATATTTTCATTTTTAACACATAGTGGATCATATTTCATTTGTTATGTCAAATATTTCCTTATCTATCAGATGATCTTGCAAGTCAAATACAAGTTCTCACCACCCAATGGAGTTTTACTCTAAAACAAACAAAAGATAGAGTTTTATGAGTAACCTGATGAACTACAGAGTTTATAATTCCATTCATTTTAATGTTGTCATTTTTAACCAGTGTTGATTTCAACCCACTGACCTCCCGAGGTGTGGTTCTACTATACTAATAATATACAACTATGCGGTTATTTTATCAAAAGGTCACAGGTCAAATCTGTAGTTTGAAACAGACCCTCTCAGAAGTGTAAAGAAATAAAATATATGTAAATTGGTTAGAGCTTATCTTGAAAGTGTCTGGGCTGGCTGGCTGGCTGGCTGGGTGGTTGGCTGGGTGGCTGGCAGCATTACACATACAAGTACATTGCGAAGTTATAGAGACCACTTACTGTACTTAAAGAGTACCATTTAAACTATAATGAATACACTTCCTGACCTTACTGGGTTCATCTGCTCCTTATCCAGGCAATCAACATATAAATTAAAACACTACTTTTATATTTAAAGGGAAGGCACTGAGGAATGATGGCACACTATTGTTTCCTATTGAAATGTTACGCTACTGTGAGTTAACCTGTCGTCAGTTTAAACTTATTAGGGTTTACCCATTTGAAAACTGAAGGAGGGGAAGGGGGGTCTACTGGAAAATGTGTCTGACTCATTTGTTTGTCACTGTACTTACACGTGTCGTGCTATATACCATGCAGATTTGTTTTTCGTCTAGGTAATCAACATGTGACAACGACTAATCATGTGGGTGTAAATTTATTACAGACCGGAATTGGGTGGGCCACACAGAAACTTACGTATTAGTGTAAAACTGTTACAATATCAATCCTTTAATAATCAACATAAACACAATCATGTGATTAATTTTATTTATTAACATGAGAGTGAGAAAACAATATCCAGGAGCTAATTATTAATGTTGTTATTAATTTAATTATTTAATAACATTATTAGTGTCATGCTAACATTTCATATATCTGTCCTGTGAGGCAAGTGTGCATTGCGTAAATTGACACAAATAAACAATATTTATACCATAGCAACGGGTATATGGTGATAAGATTTCAGTATGCAAATTGCACTTCATGCAAATTCATCTGGTTGAAGTACTCTCGGAATATGATATTTTCAATATTCAGAATACATATATTTTTTCTGTAGTGCTGAACCATGAATATTTGTAAAATAGGATTGCGATGTTAGTTTACTAGTTGGCCAATTTTTAAGTGTAATTCTTGTCTTAAAGTTGCCAAGAAGGCAAGTCTTCTAAACGACTGTCAATCACAGGTTTATTCAAATGAAGTGTTAACCCAGACTGTTGATAGTGACTATAATTTCTTCAAAGTCAGACAATGGTGTACTTAGGATATTAGCAATAAGATTAACGTTTGTTTACATAGCTAATGATGGGCGGGCCATTCAAATTACAGTTCCCATGAGGCACTGGTGCAATCCCGGGGATTGCGGAACCGAGCTTTAAGAAATCATTGATTTGCATCAGTACGTGGTATGATATGAGAAGTCATAATTTGTCACGGGTGTGTGATCATATATAAAGACACTGATACGACACGATCAAGGTCGATCGTAACACAGCTGTAGACATAATATGTGAATTTAAAACCTTATTTCATAACAGTCTGGCCTGAGTTTCATGAAATATAATACATGTTGTCAAACTCAAAGGCAGAGTCAACCTGGGACTTACAGCCCAGAACAGCGCCATTAGAAGATCGTGGTGTTGTTTTATACTCACATTTCTGCGTATAAGTTCCTTGTTAAGATCTACGACTGGAGCTTTTCCGGGTCATTGTTCATCACTCCAAATCAAACGTGAAATTACTCTACCGCAGAACACAACAGCTCCCTGCTCCGATTGACATCAGTGATTTCCCACTTCGAGGCTGTTCTAAATGAGACTCCCTAGTTTTTCTCGGTATAATAAAATAATTAAAAAGTAAGGGCTAGTGAGCTATCTTAGGAATTAAGCTCAAACCCATCAAATAATATTATACACTCTATAAAATTAAAATCATAAAACATTGCTGTGTAATTTCGTTAAAATTTGTCTATTACCTGGTTATGTGTGTTATTATTTGTAGCCTGTGGAGTCTATTACTTCACTTCCTGGTTCAAGACTTCAAGATGGCAGCCCCCATGGATTTGTATGACAATTCGTTGCTCGGAATTATTCAACATGTTGGCGAAATCCAGCCATTCCTTGACGTGGTTTTCAATTTTTTACTAAGAAGGTATATATTCGGTAGGACTAATTTGGTTGCGCTGTTATTTCATTGACATATCAGCGACATACCGCACTTGCCTTTGCGTGCTTCTGTTCGCTCGATGTTCTTTTTAATAATACGCACGTCTTGATGACGTAGTTTTTGTTTTTTCATTTGTACACTCAAATTATCATGATAAATCCAAAGTGGTAATTTAATACGCATATCATTAGTTGTAATACATTCGAAGCACGTGGGTCATTCAACTTTCATAAACCTAGAGTAAACATAAACAAACATTCAAAAGAAAAAAAACAGGTGGTGGCGCACTTTCAAATAAAACAATACACTAACGCTAGCCCTGCGTACAGTGCTGTGTGTATGGGGACGCGTTCGGTTGATAGATGTCCCCACCACAGCCCTGCGAACGTCCATAGACAAAGTCCGGGACTTTGAAAAATATAACTTTTTTAATGAAATAATATGCCCAGGTACCAAAAATGATGATCGGTTACCAGATATATTCCTAACTCCCAGTTCGGAGTCCAATTGTGGATGGAATCGGCTACTTTGCCCTAAAAACAAACATATTCTCTTGCGTGAATGAAATTAAAAATGGCGGCGTTTGGTGGATCATTCCTCTGGTACCTACGCGTTTACAATTTGTCCGTCTTTACTAGTTGTTTTTTTAAAGACATTTCAGTTTCAGATAACTTTATAATGGTTGTTACATATAACTATCGTCATTTCAACCGATTTCGGCTGGGAAACTACTTATTTTTAACTTGAGCACCAATTACGGTGCGCTCCCGGACTTTGCCTATGGAGGCACGCAGGGCTGTGGTGGGGACATCTATCAACGAACACGTCCCTGTACACACAGCACTGTACGCAGGGCAACACTAATGCTAGTGTAATCCCAAATTATTAAACAATTAAAATAAAAACTTTCTAAAATTTGTGTCCAATTTAATACATCATCTGCGGAAAACTTCCACAGATAAAAATAAATTGTTAAAGCGACAATACTTGTAACTATCAATCTTTTTTTCTCCGATTGTTATATTTAAATAAATCATTTCCTGAGCCATTAGTGTCAATTTGTAATGGGCATCGCTGAAATGTAACTATGCCCATGCAATTGTGTTACAAAACAATATTTCGGACAAATTTGGTCATCTTGATGTGGTTATATTCACACAAAAAATGTTCACAGCTATTGCCACTTTAATTAATCCAACCACACTCAGGGATGATAATTTTAATTGGTGTACTATTATAATAACTGTACGTGAGTAAGAGCAATTATTATATAACTTTGTCAAAAGGAAGAATGATCTTTCCCTTGCCATGATGACGCATTCATTTTTAAGAAAGGCAATATTCATCTCCATTTGAGTGATGTGTAAAAATGTAAATAAAGTAATAAAACAGAGACATGAATCAATTTATTGGCTATTTTTGTTTCCAATAGAAAATGACTTCCTTTAATGTTTGTCCACAATTTTTCTCTATTTTGTAACAATTCAAAATTCTCAATTTTCTAAGAAGCTTGTTTCTATGTATAATTCACATTATGTGAAAAATGCAGTTCATCTTCTAATTGGTAACAGTAATTACATTTGCCAGAATTGTATCTTCCACATGTTTGATTGCATTCATCTAAGGCTCTGCTGCATTGTATGGAACACATGTGCACATATATAGATGTATGATTTCACAATGAAACTGTACAGCATGAGATTCCGTGTAGGTCCTATTAGATCAGAACAATTTACATTTTGTGAAAATATATTTTCAGAACTGATTTCTATCGTATAATGCACAATAGGGAGGATAAGATGGGATTTCCACCGGGAGTTGCTAGGCAGATGGTAATGCAGGTGAGCAATTCAACAAGGTTTTCCCAGCTACTATGATTTTCTATATTGAGGGCTGGTAGTACTGTAAAATCTGTATTAGAAGTCGCATACATAATAGAAGTCACAGGCATTTACCATTTCTTACATGTATATGTGTAGATATAGAAACCAAATCACCTTTATTGCATTTTACCATTTCAATAGAAGCTGCGGTTTCTAATACAGATTTTACAGTATGCGCTCTCTCAACATGACTGCAATGCATCAGTTTGGTATTCATTTTCTCAAGCTAATCAATATACATGTACGATTTAGTTGATTTAAATGTTGCCTTCCTTAATTCAGTAATGTGATGAGTTTTGTGTTATCTACTGTTCGTCTTGTGTGGCTGTCATATTTTACCAGGTTCTTAGCCAATAGACACACTTTTCTGTCTTTTTTTTTATAATATACTAAATAATATTTATTTTCTTTCAGACATTCACAAAATATGAGCAGTATGCATTGCAGATGATGCAACGAGAAGATGCAGAGAAAAATAAACGTGGCGAAGGTAGGGAATTATTGTGTAGATTTATGTCAGACTATAGCAAGAAATTTGAATAAAAAAATTAATTGTAAAATTTAGATTAATTCGGTTCAAAATCCAAATGTTCTACAATAACTGTTAATTTCGTCTTTCTCTACTAATTTTTTTTCAGTTGCTCCACCTGCAGTGGAAACCGTTGAAGTGCAATCAGAGGATCCGATTAGTGTTGAAAAACCCACAGATAAATGCGAAGAGAAGGAACAAAAAACATCACCTGCAAAACCAAGTCAAGAGAGCAAACCTAAAGCAGCTGAGAGGTGAGATTTTCATTTATGAAGTATACAATAAAATAGAAAGTTTTTGGGGGGATTCAAACTTGCGTATTAAGACGGTGAACATTTGACTCTTGAAATTGTTTGTACCTAGTATTCGATTACAAGTCTCAAAATTGAATTTTGAATGAAATCACGTTGACATTGTTCCCATGGAAACGAGTTCAGCTATTTGATGAAACCATTACATGTAGCTCAGCAAAAATATCAACACTTGTCGTGCTTTTGAATTTTTTGGTAGCTAGTCACATTCATACGTAACTGTATTCCAGTAATTTCCCACAATGCATTGCTGTTGTGCAAGCACTATTTTTATGAACATACTGTATATACATGTAGACTACTTTTTTAATCTTAATATCGGTGTCAGTGGTGTTTCCGATACTGTTGTGCAATCCCAGGGATTGCTGTATTTACCTTTAAATCAACACAGTTTATCATGATTGCAAATATGGAGACTCGCAAAGCAATGTATGTTTACATACAGAATTTCAGAAAGCTGTTGAAAACAGTATTATGAAATACAACAAAAGTGATAAAAACAACTGTCAGACTTGATCATAGTTCAAGGCTTTTTGTGATGATTAGAGAGGTTTTTTTCTAGATAAAATGAACGAAAGGTAGCACAAACAGAGGAGGGAGCGGTGCGACCAAGCGGGGTGGGGGGTGCTTAGGTTGTGGAAGGTATCCAAAGGTTTCTGCGCCATTTTAATGGTGTAGCTATCGCCATTGAAAATGTTTGGAGTAATTTTAGTTCAATCTTCATTTCAGTAAGAGGGCACCAGCCAAGAGTATCAGGGCTCTGCGTCTCTGTTCCCTGGCTTAGATAAACCCCTGATTAAGTGTTGATAAACTATGCTGATTGTGTTAGAATAAACTGTGTATAACATGTGATTCATAGTACACATGTGCACAGTTCTGTGTTAGAATAAACTGTGTATAACATGTGATTCATAGTACACATGTGCACAGTTCTGTGTTAGAATAAACTGTGTACAACATGTGATTCATAGTGAGTCATCAGTTCTGATGACTGTCCTTTTAAGTATAAGAATGATGAAATACTGCAAAACCATTATTAATCTGTACAGTTACGGTAAACTGATTAAAACAGATTAAGGTAAAAATTCTATGGAAGTTGTTGTTCATGCAGGTAAACATGTGAATTTTTAAGATGCGAGTACCCGGTACACTTTCCGTTGAAAATTGAAACTTTCCCAGTGCATTTATGGTGAACAACTAACATTTTTTCTGTGGGATAAATAAATAATTTTTCAGTGGTCATCCAGCAATAACGACAGGAACAGACAGCTATAATGGTGCTGCGTTAGACAACTATTCATGGTCGCAGTCATTCACAGATGTTGATATCAAGGTTCCGATTCCAACCTCTGTTAAGAAAGGCAAAGACGTGAAGGTTGACATAACCTCTGATCGTATCTCGGTGTCTTTAAAACCCGGCGTTGTGGAGAAAGATGAAAAAGTGCTAATGGCTGGAAAGTTGAAATATAACATAAAGCGAGAGGATTCCATGTGGAGTTTAGAGCCTGGTAATTGTATTCAGGTATGCAGGCACTCAGTATAATTAGCACTCGCATATGATAGTTTACTTGTTTATATTTTTTCGAGTTTAGAAAACTAGTCTCAAGAGAAATTATTTCAGTCATTGAACCTAAATGCTAGTAATATTGTTGTTATGAAATGCTGCTAAAGGTTTATTAAACCTAAAAAGGTTTGAGCCAAATAAAGATTATATGTCATGTTAGTTAGGTCATGTGATCAGGGTACCAAAAATGAAAAACAAAAATTTGAGTAAACCTTACAATTTTTCAAGATATACGTGTCATTGAAAATGGTAAAAATTTGACACTGTTTTCATAAAGATTATCTCTTCGTATCTCACAATTTTGTTTGTTGGCATGAGATAAAAAAATTGTATATTATTGATATGAATTCTAATAATATTAAAACAAAAAAATTACATTTTTTAATTTAGTAATCAGTGTGAGTTTTCTATTATATACAGCAGAAAGTTCTTTCCCATAATGCATTGCATATATGTGTGTGCAATAACATGCTCAGTAGCGCAGAATTTAACTGCTCAACAGTTGGATTGTGGGAAAAAAAATTTCTTTCAGTAGTTGAACGCCCTTTCAATTGTGAGTAACTTTACAAGAAGTAAAACTTAAAAGTTACCATGGTGCTTGTGAGTTGTACTGATCAAAAACCATTTATCGACTTAGTTATTTATTGTCTTCACTACAATAAATCCTGTTATGCAATACAGTTCATATTCTGTTTTGGGTGTATGCTAAACACAATTAACCTATGAAGTACAAAATATTTTATGTTTACTCACATGCAATGGTAATGCAAATTTGAATGGGATTACGTAATGGTTATACAAAAAACAAAACTACAGTGTACATGTCAGATCAATCTTAATAGGAAATGCATCATATCAACTATTGATTCTGTAATATAGCCCATTTTCCATCGTTGAACAAAGAATCTTGCATGCGTTTTAGTGACTTGATGACTCCCTAAGATGCGTTAAGCTTAATCCCAACCAAATCCACTGAACTGCTCTGTAATGTTCGTCTATTGTCATAGCAGATACTGTAGTTTCTACATTTATTATAGTACTCATATTACCGGGTACTCAAGTGCTTCTAACAAGCTTTTGCAGACAATACAACTTTAAAAAACTCTTATGAGGGCTATCCTCGGGGGCGGAGCTACGTCACAGACGTTCCACGTTGCTAAGACACGCACCACTGTACATGCATTTCTATGGGCTCTGTGTACGCTGCTGTGGAACGACTGTCGAGCCGGTGAAAATTCGAGAAAACAACACAAACTCAACTTTGAAGTAATCCCGAACAACCAAATTTATATATGTTACACACGTAGGGCTAATCTTGTTACACTGTTCAGAGGAGTCTCAACAATAATCCCAAAATACCGTCACGAAAATTGCAATGTCACTTTCACTACTGTACTATATTACAATTTACAACAACAAATTTTGCAGATAAACTTGGAGAAGACTATGGAAAAGATGTGGTTAGGAGTATTGGAAGGTGACCCCGAAATCAAACAAGACACCATAGATCCCACAAGACACTTGCATGATATGGATGATGACTCCCAAGCTGGGTGGCGACAAGCGATGTTTGATTTCCAGCAAAAACAACAAGGCAAACCAACAAGTAAAGAATTGGTGAGTTCATAATTTCAAGAAAAGTTTTACGTTCAATGTACTGTGCAAATTAAATACCAATCTTACTATAGCTCTGAATGGCTACTAGTATTACCACTCACTGTATTGTTTTTATTTCTAGGAAACGCATGGAATACTGAAAAAGGCATGGGACGCTGAAGGATCTCCGTTCAAAGGCACTGAATTTGATCCATCCAAGTTGAACATATCCACGTGACCTTTGACCCACATTAACATATTGTGCCATTATTTTTGCCAAGAAATAATTCCCTTCTCCATAAGGTTTTTTTTTCACATGCAACTATGTATACTTGCATCAAAATTGTTGTTTTCTGTGAACATAAATTACAGTTTATCTAGTATAGAATATACAGTTCTCCCATTCTATCAAGATTAGCATTACCGGGTATTAAAGAATTCCTGTTATTATGAAGCTAGACTAATGACATTG